GGTGATTTGAAACCTATCTCCAGTCACTTGGGACGGGCTAAGAGCAGACACAGTCAGTTTCAGAACTTTGTGGTACTCTATGTGAACATTGTCTATCAAACCTGCACTAGAAGACGGAATCCACTTCTCAAGCTACTTACTCTGGTGGATATGAAAGACTCGGAGTCTATGAGTATTTCAGCAAACCTACAGGTCTGAGAGAGAGACAGTGAGGTTGGCTCTGGAGAATGCTTTAGCTTGTAGTGTTTTTTGCGTGCTTGTTCGTAGCTTGATTTTCTTGTTTTTTTGAGGTGTGATTTGTTTAGGTTGTTCGGTAGGTTTTGTTAGCTTGCTAGGTCCCCTCGGGGGTACAGTGACAAGTTAATTTTTTTGGCATTTCGATGTCGTTTCTGGAGTAAGATGTCAACTTTCGGGTCCTTAGCATCTGCCTATACCAAGAGTTTGCTCTTTCTCTTTCTAGTCAAGGCACTGATTAGTCTTTTTGGTTTCTTTGTGGACTCTAATGCACTTATTTGCCGCAAATTCTGTATTTTCGTTTGAGTTATAAATCCTGCCGTGTCGAAAACAAAAATAATGATTCATGGTCGAGCTCAATAAATTGTTACCCATATGAAAATAATGATTCCATAATCTATATATAATTGTAGGATATTCATTTATTCCAAAAGAAAAAAAAAATCTGCCTAAATTTTTTAGTTTTTTAGTAAGTTTTAATTTTCTTGTTGTTTGTATTTACATCATTAAATTTGTAATAAATAATATTCATAAATACTGTAAAGGTTATGTTTTAAAATTTTACTTAACTATGCATTTTGTTGTTTTGGTAAATGATAAGTAATATTATATAATTTGATGTGATCTTTCAACATTACTACTATATATCTCTTCTTTTGGTTGAAAATTATTTCAAAACTTGGGCTTCTAATTATTCACTTAATTTTAATCATTTCAAATTGTGCAACAAAATCAACTTTCAAGACTTTAGAAGTATGTTTTGATTTGTCTCAGGAAATAAATTTATAATATAAACCATAATTTTATTAATTAGTTTGCATTTTTCATTTGTAGGGTTTCCATAATTTATTTGACATGGTTCTACATGTAGCAAAAAAAAAATCCTATATAAATTTTTAGTTTAGTAATGTAGATTTATATAAGCTTTGTCAAGTTTATGTTACTTTTATCACTTTTAATTTAAATTGAATTTGTAATTATTGTTATGTAAACAAGTACAAGTTGGTCTACTGATTGAATGTAACAATTTTTAAGTTTTGCTTGCACATTAGTGCTAAAAAATTTAATAAATTTACATTGCTTTTAATGTGTCTTACAAGTTAGTTGTGATATTTTATAATGACCAAATTTTTTGTAATAAAAATACTAAACATACAAGTATCAAAATTATACATGAATAATTATTCAATTAAATAATTCAAATTATACGTGTATTTTATTATGCAGCTATATTATTAATATAATTAATTAAAAGATTAATATAGGCTATATAAAATTTACATTGTTCATTCTAAATTTATAATTTTTTTATTATTTTCTTTTCACTTTGTTGATACTCTTATGATTATTGTTATTATAATACTCAAAGCATATATAAAATTATATTATTTCTTATATATTCATTAAAATAATTATCATTAATATATGATAAATTTTCACATTTATATTCTTATGCTTGAAATATAAAATTCCAGCTAAGAGTAGTTAATGTAACAGTTCAAATATGATGCATATTTTTTTATATGTTAGTCGTTATTATTTTATACAAAGTTTATATTATTTTTTTATGTAACATATGCATATGCACAAGATGGATTACTAGTTCGTTCTTAAACTATGTCAAATAGATTAATTATTGTGGGTTTATGGAAGTTCAGTTTAATTACTCACAATTTAACTTTGAAATGCAGTAGATTATGATCCTTTTTAGGCATTTAATTGAAAATTTAACCTTGTGTTTTGTTCCTAACTAGTGCGTATTCCGTGCGATGCACGGATAAACAATATTAAATAATAATTATAAATAAGTATCGAGTCCGAGTCACTCAATTAAAGAAGTGGGGAACCACTATTCATCTTCTTTTAAAAGAGCAAGAAAGATATTATAA